TATCTATCAAGGAGCAAATCCCTATCAAGGATCAGTTGTGCGGACGTCAGAGAAATTCATTTCTAAGTACCTTACTGAAGTGTATCGTTAATATGCAAAGCCAAAAGCTTGATTTTTGTGCAGGAAATGAGGTTGGGACTCCCGCTATCGCTTCAAAGACTGCTGCAACTGCAATAAAAAAGAAACCAGAAAGACTGTTAACAGAGACAAGACATTTAATCACTTGCAGATACAAAACAATTAGTGTTCAGCGTTTTTGAAATGTTGTTATGACAACTGTTAAAAAGGATTAAACATAGCTTTTAACACTTAGCATATAATATTAAAATGCATGGTTGTGTAATATCCTTCTTTCTCACCACTGCCTTTCTTATGGTCATAATCCTTAAAAACAACCAAATTGAATGTACCCCATATTGCTAGGTCATCAAAAATGGTGAAAAATGTTATAAAGCCAAGGCTTAACAGAATTTATTTTTTATTTTTGAATAAATACATTTTTCTGTTTCTATCCCATTTTTTAATCTGATTTAGGAATTCAATTATAATCTGGATTTGTATTAGGAGATTGTGTATTTCCAGGGACACGTTTTCTATGGCTTCTGAGATCATTTATTTTATGCCATGTAGTGTTTCTCTTGTTTGTCTCAGTACTAGGGTGTGTAGGTAATAAATATATCACAACATTTAATGAGGTTTTTGACAGGAAGAATGATAAATTCCTTGTACTCTTTCCATACAGAAACCTCAAATAGATGTTATCACTAATATAAATAATTATTAATAATTAAATGTCCTTCATATATTATGTAAATTAATACTAGTGAAAAATATGTTATAATTTAGCTTCAAGGATGTGTACAGTTTGACCCTAGGTTCATAGATTGTCGACCTTTCACCTTTACATGTCTCTTTTTGCTAATGGATGCATACCTAGTATGGGTTTAATAATCTGTTCTCGATCTAGTGTTGCAAAGCTGTGGTCATGCTTTCCAAAATGCTTGCAAATGCAACACACAGATTATATTTCTCATGTCGGTTGTATCTATGCTGACTGTTAAGAACTTCTTTATAAAAATATAAGGGGAAATCAAAATGTTTTAATACAACATAAATTACCCTGTATTAGTGCATAGTAAATTAAAAAGGGTTTTAATGCATTGGGTAGTTTATTCCGTCCGTAATGCATGAAGTAAAATTGCGTAATTTCCATTGTGTTTTGTTTGAATATCACATCTCTTCATAATACATCTTGTTAATTTTGTCAGTGTAGCCTAAATTCAAAAATTTGGTATAGTATCGTTACTTATCATCAGTTGGTCAGGTGTCTTTCAAAAACTATTGTTCTTTTGAGGTTGTTTCATCAGAAATAATTTGATTTAAACACCTCTATGTCTGACAGTTTTTTGTGTCATGCACATTCACTCAATAATATTCATTTGTGTGTGCAACTCCTCACCGATCATTTTTTGGACACTGTATTTCTCACTGATTTTCACACTCATATTTG